GACTGGAAAATGGAAAGGAAACGTCTGCTAGGCAGGCTAATAATAATGTGAAGGTAAATTACCCGCGGTAGCAAGATTGTAAAGCGGACGTTTCGAGTCGGTTAGCCCTTTTGTCTAACCAATGAAGATCACCGACAGATGAATAGGGATAAAACCTTGTAATCAGTGATGACCTAAAATACATTTGCTGGCAAAACCAATCCAAAAGGAGGTAAGTTAAATTTCGTGGAACCATGACGTTTTCCTCGAACTTGTTGGCGAGAACTGGACCCGTAAAGAAAAAATTTCCTGGCACTGTGACAACAAGATAAACGAATATTTGCTACCTATACTTTGATATATCACTGAAACTGATATGACCCTGCTAAACATATTGCTATAATTTATTAATGACCATCGTGTTGGTATGTCCTGTGTGGTCGTAGCCAGGAAAAAATTATGACTTAGGCAAGGTCCATGAAAAAGTTATGACTGAGACCAAGAGACTGTGTAATAGATCAAACACGAGAAACGGTGTTTCATCGGGATATCCAAGCACCGAGAAGAGAGTTGAAAATACGACGCGCAGCGAAGTATTTTTGACGAAATTCGAGGTGTTTGGATAGCCAATGGAACACTGTCTCGAGTGTTTGATATATCTTCTCAATCGAAACAAAAACTAAGGAGTAAACGGAGAAGTAAAATCATCAAAATCTATGCTAACTGAAGACCGGGTATCCAAACCGTCCTTCGCGGTTGTCAATTTCTTTGTTTTAACTTGAAGAATTATTTAATGAGTTTGAGAAGATCTAGATCACAGTCTATTGCTGAGGCAATGTCCATTGTCAAATCCTCTTTAGGTACTTAGGGTGTGTATGATTACTATAATCAACAAAAACGAAAAAAACGACGAGTGCCTCGATTTGCCTGTTACTGGTTACGGCCATGTCCTATTCACTTGGGAAGAAATTTTTGAGCTGGGTGTAAGGTCGTGATATCTTAACTCGGAGTTTTTTGCAGTCGATTTATTATGACTGTTGTTTGGCTAACAGGAAAAATGTTCTCATATTTGTAAATTTGAAATGTTAATATTAATTGAAGTATTAATATTTAATGACTAAATCTTTTAGCGACTATTTACTCAGTTTCTCTTAATAGCAAAGAACACTACGATAGTTAAATTTATTCAGTGCCGTTTTTACTAACAAAAATACATTTTACCTGCTTCACTTTCATCGTGGGGTAGGCTTTTTAAAAGCGTGATATTCTGTGGGTACAAACGTTTAAATAAAAGTGAGATACGAAATCAGACATTACAACTGGCATTACGCTGACATGTTCACATGTAATGTATACGGCGCCTCTGACAGGCCTCGCAGACGAGACAAAGGGATTATGAGGATATAAAGGCCTGTAAGTAGATCATGAAGAAAGATAGGATTACATGTAATCATAGATTTGTGATAATAACTGTAACGCCGGTAATATGGGCTGTGGTAATTACAGAACACAAAGGCCAGCTTTCGACGTTAAAAGGAAAAGTCGATCAAAGGCAGGTGTTTGTGAGTGATAAAGTAAAGTTCACTTAAGTGTTAACAGTTTTTGAAACTATAAGTTCTCTACGCAGCCTTTGATTTTTTAAAAGCCGCCCTGGAAAGAGGTTTTTCTTTTGTTATGAGATTAAGGGAATGAAAGTGACATTAGGTGTTCGCTCACCTCACACACAAATGTGCCAATCTGACAATTCGACTGGGTAGCCGGCAATTAATGAAAGAAAAATGTTCTAACACGTCACTGTTGTCAAAACCTTGATTAGGAATTTTGGTATGATACAAAACAGAATAATAAAATGTTACTGCTGTTTTACAACTTGAACTCATTGGAGTAATTTTTTATTGATAAAAAACCGCCGTCCATTGAAAGCCTGTGACCAGCTGTACTGTCTAGTCTTAGACTCCTTGTTTCACTCGAATTAACTCCACTTTTTTCCTTAGCTTCTACCTCTTAAGAGTTTGATCATTTTGGTATGAAATGGGGTAGGTTTCGTGCACTGTATTCTTACATTGTGTGTTTTTATAAAAGCTAAGTAATTATTATCTTCTCCCGTTGCTTGCTTACGTAAAAGAAAACCAGTTTTTGGTAGACAAGGTCATGAATAATCTTAGAGGTCTGAAATGGGGTGTGGAAACTATCCGGACTATTTTGGTTTGAAATAAGGTAAGAGTTTCTAAAGTGAGCAGATTTATAAACCACATTTACAAACCTCAATTTCCTCTCGTTCAAAACAGACTGAGATAGTAAACTCAGAATATTAAAGCCAGTGTATATTGAAAAATTTGATATAAACAAGGGAAATTGTGAAAACCAGTTATAGAGCATGCACAGTAAATAACTATACCAAAGTACCGTAAACAGTACTTTACAGTTGAACCCCGCTATTCTGAACTCTATGGGGAAATGACAAATACAGTTTAACCTCGGTATTTCGAACTCTCAGGGGAAACGGAAAATAGTCAGAAATAGCGGGAGTTCGAAATAGCCGATAGTAAATGACTGCCGCACAAATTCAAAGGAAACGGTTTTGAGATAGGAAAAACGGGGAATTCGAAATAACTCTGAGTTCGAATTAGCAGGTTCGAAATAGCGGAAATTTGCGATGGTAAATGACTGAAAGACAAATCCAGGGGAAATAGTTTTGAGTTCGAATTAGCAGGGAAATAACAGAGTTGGAATTAGCGGGGTCCAGCTGCAGTTGTAAATATCAAGATGCATTGTACTCAAATGACTGATGGCCACCCTTGGCCCAGGTCATTGGTATTCCGGCGGTACTCTTGACAGTGCAGGCTAAGATACAAATTAGCTAACAGAAAAATGATCGAAAGATTCGAAAGAAGATTTGCTTAAGATTTTTTTTTTAGTCAGTGCCTCAAACCATTCGGGAAAAGAATTCCGAGTTCAGCCAAGAGGACTCGAACGTACCTGATCTCCTTACACCGTTTGCGCGCTTTACCACTGAGCTACAGTGGACTTGCTGGAACTAAGCGAAATAACTAGGGAATGAGAATTGCTTCTAGTGCGGCGTAAAAAGTCTTTATGACTGATGACGAACGAGATAGCATAGTGAACAGAAAGAACTGAATTTATATTGTGAAACCTTAGGCGAATTGCCTATAGCATTTTGGATAACTTTTGTCAGTTTCCAGTTTTCTTAGTTTTGCAATGAATACCCTGCAGCATTTACACAATGAGTTCTGGGGCTGATAGTGCTCCCGTATTCGGTCATTTCCAATGCGATATCACGGCATGTGCGACGTGGACAGCAAACCCTTTGCCAATAAGAGGAAAGATGTTTTCACAAATACCCTTCGAAGCTTTTGTTTTCCGTTTTGCCGATAATTATGAAATTTTGACCCGAAAAACATCTCGCTAGGAGGATAACCTTGACAATCGAAGTGCACAGCAGCAGAACATCACAGCCGATGACAATGAAATGAGTTGAGTGGGAGTTACTGAATAATGAATGCATCTTGCACCGAGTGAAACAATTTATTTTTAATCGTTGTACTCAATGGCAGAACATCAACCGTACGCCATTCATTCATGTTCTCGACCAAGGACTGCAGATTTGGCCTTCTAGGATGCCATTTTAAAGAAGAACTTTATTGAAGGATGAAAGTGTTGAGTGATCTGTTCCACAAGGTCGGTAATGTAGTAGGCGTATGCATGTTTTATAGATTGCGGTTAAATCGGACCTGATGAATAGCCTCTACAAGAAAGTACAAACATATTGATTAAGGGTCTGGAATATTCTTTTATTGCAGTAGTTCAAAGCCTTACCGATTTCAGCGAACAAACCAGAACTTAATGTTAATCTGCCGACTCTCATTTGTGTTTGTAATTTCGGATTCGGATCCAGCTGATAAATACGCTGGACTTTTTTTTTTTTTTTAACTGTAGACTCTCGTTTATATTTGTAATTTCGGATTCGGATCCAACTGATAAAAGTACGCTGGACTTTTGGGGTTAAAAAAAACCATCGTAACGCTGATGATGTGTGGTGATGCAACAAAATGTCGATGATTGACTAACTTTATCAACCTAACAAGAAATAACTTAGATTTATACCAAGATGAATCAAGTAGAAAATATCTTCGTTTCATTGACGTAGATTAATGTTTGCTTTTCATTCGCATAAAGGAAAGAAAATAGACTTCACGGCTCGTAGTTTATAACTTGAACTGATTTCTCTTATTCTACTCAGTCGTGTTTGTGATGTCTCCCTCCCCCTAAACGCATCAATCAATTCCAGCATCATTTTAATATTTAACGAGATGACAATATTCATGTCTTGAAAACTCATTTGTAAGTTTAGCATGCGATGCCAACGTAGTGCAAGGAGAACAACAGAGATTAGGTTTCAGAATACGCTGTAAATTCGGGACTTGTTTTGCGTCTGTCATTCAGAATGGTCATGTTGTGAGCTTTCATCGTCTCTCACCGTCAACACGACCTTTCTTTGGCCGTCACTAGTCGCTCTAACCATCTGTTATTGCGATTGTGGTGTCTATAAGTTTGAGGAGCGCCAACCATTTGTTATTCCAAGCCTCGGTTTCCAACTGAACTACTTTGAGAGAACCAAATGCCAGAGAAAAGAACTACGCTGTTGATGAAACAGGTTAGTATACAGGTGAATATATGAAAGATGCTGATTCTGTGATGATTTTTCTCTTTCATATCATTTCGATATTTTTTCTGTAATCATTGCTATTCAGTGATGTCATATCTCAAATCAATGTCAGAATTAACAAATAGATCGGTATAAGAAGGAAACTGCGTCCACACTAAAGAGAGAATTACAACACAGCAACAAAATTTCAATAGCGAATACTGAGAAATTAATTTCTCACGGAGCTGAATCCCTCACAGACAGCGACTTAACATGCCCACGCGTGCAAGACTCGATTTCAAATATATTTTGCTGCTGATAACCAAGTCGACCAAACCCAAGGTCAGGTTTGTCGCACGTACTGCGATTGTCTGTGACGACAGGTCGATGGTAGTAGCTAATTTTACACTTCTATCACGGTTAAGTTAGGAAAATCATGAAGAGATCTTCACAACAACAAATGCTTTCTAACTTGGTGACAAAACCAGCGTTAATGACTGAAAAACGTCAACTGACATTTATAATCTAAGATTCTAAGGATAACTTCTAACTGGAAATCGTGATTAATTTTTACGCTTGTTTTGAAATCACGTCTTCGCATTCAGTGCCGGTTTCTTTTGCAATTATTCAAAGAAGATTGGCAGGAAATTTGGCAAGGCGCATATCTGAGTACCCCGCTGGGCGTCCTTTCTGTCCTCGTGATCAATGACAGTTGTTTTGTCGTTTTATAAAACCCAGCTGATCAACACATTGACTTGACACTAGCAATAACGTCTTGAGATAAACGACTTCTCAAGATCCTTTTATCAGCTTTATAATACATTCTCTACGGAAACAAGTTAGATAAAAATTGTCAGGTTTATTTTTCATTTCTTTCGAGGATGTGTTAGTGCGATAATCCCAATTCAAACTCTAATTTATTTCGTTGTTTTGTTGCCAAGTTACCCATGCAATCTATTGAAAAACGACTTTGACGTTGAGTGAAACAAAATACTACACTTGTAATCCTCTCGTGATCATGATAAAGATGTGCTCAGTCAGTTTTTTTAAGTATCATATTTGAATTCTTAATAATTTTCTTTGTAAATGTTTGGAGTAGCGTATTTCAACGAAATCCCAGTTGAATCGATGGGTACTTTTATTTGCTCTGTACGAAAGGGCTCGGTGACATCTCCATGGAGCTCTCCATGGCGCTAGCTACAACCCTCAGGCTAGTTAAAGCCCCTCGACGTAAAGACAAAAAAGTGAGAATATTATCTCTATCAGGGTTATTTTGATCATGAGCTGAATGCTGTATGTCGCTCAGTAGAACTGTAATGTCACCTGCAAAGCCCAGTTGTTCGAAAGCCATTGACGCTATTTTGGAAATATTTCAATTCTTATGCCAATAAAAACATTTCTAGCGAATATCATATTTCCGCCCAAGTTTATTAAAAACCAATTAAGAGGAAAACGAAAATAGATATGCCAGTGAATACCAGTTTTTATATCATGCCACAGAAAATACATCCAATCAAAATACAGGAAAGTCGTTGCATATTTTTCGATATTACATCCAACATTCCCATCGTGCGCCGTGCGTATGTCGTATTGATGGTGTTACCCACTGTATTATCTATGTCATGGTATAAAATAGTTATTCAACGCTCTCTCGCGGTATACCATGGAATTTCCCACTTGTCACTTGTATTTTCTTGATATACACATGAGCCTAGAAAATACAAGTGACTGGTGAGATATTCCATGATATACCACACGAAAGCGTTGCATAAGTCTACAGTAGTATGTACTACAGTTTGAATATTCTGCTCATGCGCAGTAATGTAAGAACAAATTTCAAATTTCTTTCGTGTGTTCTGAAACGCCCAGAGTGTTTATAACCAGAGCAGGATTAAGTTAAATCCATTGTTAATACTTTTTCCTTATATTCACTGTCAGCAGTCAGTCAGACTATGTGCAACGTATTCAAAATGGCCGACGTGTGAAAGTAAAATACTACTTCTTCAGAAGGTCTTCACCATTGCGTAATATAAGAGGCCAATACAATTCTGTACTGTCGTTAGGCCTGCTGTGTCTTTAACATGCTATATTGCCTTTCAATGGACATTTTCCTTCAGGCTAGTACATATACGTTAATAACTGGAGTACTATATTAGCTTTATGGGCCATATTGTCTTGTTTGATCTGAGTTGAGCGTCAAATGCCCAGTGACTATAAGATTTCGCTCTCTGGTAAATTTTTTACAACCTTAAAGTATAAATATATGAATGAAAGTCGTTTTCAGGCTGTGCATGTAGTTAAAGGTTGCCACGATTAAAAACACTTAACACTTCAGTTCTCTTGATAGTCTTGATTACTATTTCAAGGAATCAACGTCTGCTGAATTTCCAAGTAGTAAAGTGACGAGGATAAAGAAAATTGTTAACAAGGAGATAGTGTATTGACGAATCAACCACGTTTCACAACCACCATTAAGAGAAATGTATGACATTCAGCAAGAGAATTCATGTTTCGAGTTTACAAGGGAATGAAAGGGTTAAACCGAGATCTCTACATGAAGTATCATGTCAGGTAACAGTACAATATTAGGATTGCGTGAAGCAAGTGGTTTTTTGTGGTCTACACTTCTATTGACCATAGTAATGAGGTCATAGTTTTGAACATATTACGACGTTATTTTTATGGTCTGGAAGAGTACAGACCATGGGAAATATGGTCCACTTGTTGTAGGACTGATCAGTGACGAAATTGCGCTTGCGCACAGCAGCTTGTAAGGATGAATTACGCATCAAAGATCCCGATCAACATTTCAAAACTTTTTGGTTTTGGTTTATTTCTGAAAGTTACAGCTAATGTCATTTTTATGGTTTCATCGACCAGAGCTCTTGTGAAACTTTTCCTTTGAAAAAAAAAAAACACACACAACCAATTTTAATGTAACCTCAAATCGTCATCAAATCACAGTAGAACCCTGCCTTACGACCACCTTGTCTGCACAGTCATCTCTCCCCTTCTTCTACCCCCGGTCTCCATCTCTGGCCAATACGAAACCTTGGGCCAGGAATTAACTTTGAGTTTCTTGACATAAAAGTGCAAGCAACACCACGTTTTAAGCTACTCATGCTAAAAAATATATATATATTTATGGATGGTAGAATTTTTGAGAGAATTTGCGTTGTTTGCAGAGAAAATGTTCAAAATTTATGTTGACAAGGGAAACAATTTTCTATTCTCACTCAGCAATTAGTTACGAGGTTTCAGCAAATGTCTATCCATGCTGTTACCACGCAGATTTTCGTTGTATAATTAATGTACGTTTAATATTTCATTTGCTGTTGGCTTTGTCCAACTTGTCACGATCCTTTCACCAAAGTAAAATCCACTTCAAAAAAACAATCGTCTTGACACGGAACGATAACATTTCACGAAAAAAATGTTTTTGAATGAATTACGCTATATTCTTCTTTAGATATTGTAGCCAACATGTTACTTTGTTATTCAAAATTAAAACTTGATTTAATTCCAGCAGCTTTAATTATTTACTTTCATTATCCTGACAAATAGTTTACACTTCTTTTGTAAAGAATAAAAAAAGACATTTTCAATAGTAGAAAAAAACCTCGCCTTCGGGTCGGACTTAATGAGTGCCAAAAGCGTCGTTATATTAAATAACCAGCTTGCTTTCTGACGTTTTTTATTCTTTTCAATGCGGTGATTACTATCAGAAAAGGGCGTCATCATTTTGAATTTTTTCTTTGCCTTGAAACTTTAAGGCTAGGGGTATTTTTTTGGACAACAGCGAGCGATGGTAACTTTTTCTTTTCAATTTACGTGCTGTTTGCAAAAGAATATTGTTAGTTATTTTATTATTTTTTGGTGATTGTATAAGATGTCAGCGTGCTCTCCAAATAACTAAGCAACTGGGAACAGTGTCGGAAGAACTAGCTGCATGGAACTGCTGAAAAATCATCAAAGCGCCCACTTCTTTTAAAAGTGGCTTGTGCTAATCGAGAATTCTCTGTAACAGCTACATTTCCACCACTGTGTTTTATGAAACACAACAGATTTCTGCTAAAGAATTAGAAATTTTGGCTCAAAAATTCTGTAATACTTCCGTCGGTTGCTCTGAGAGAAAGTCCATATTTTATCAACAATCACATTACATTCACTAACAGGTTTTGTTCTTTCCCTTTAGTTTCAATTTGGGGATACTACTATTAAGAAATGGTCACAAAAAGCCGGTAAATCAACAAACAAAGTTATTAAAGTGGTGTTTTTCTATTCNACTTCTTTTAAAAGTGGCTTGTGCTAATCGAGAATTCTCTGTAACAGCTGCATTTCCACCACTGTGTTTTATGAAACACAACAGATTTCTGCTAAAGAATTAGAAAGTTTGGCTCAAAAATTCGTAAAGTGCTGACAGTGAATTGTTTCAGCCTGCGAGATTAAATAAGGTTTGCCTTAACTGTTATACTTCCATCGGTTGCTCTGAGAGAAAGTCCATATTTTATCAACAGTCACATTACATTCACTAACAGGTTTTGTTCTTTCCCTTTAGTTTCAATTTGGGGATACTGCTATTAAGAAATGGTCACAAAAAGCCGGTAAATCAACAAACAAAGTTATTAAAGTGGTGTTTTTCTATTCATATAGAAAAGTGTTCCTCGCGGAACAGAAAAAGCGCTAATGCCAAAAATGAAAACTTCAGTTTATATCCTTTGAAAAAAAGACCTGGCAAATTTGCTTTTCCGGACAAACAACATGGAAAACGCGATTAATATGTCCCTTGCTACTGCAAACTGTGAGAAGTTCGGCATCCAGCAACTTACAAGGTTGATGTGCATTAGGCGATGAGAGTGGTGAAAAAAAAAAAAGCGGTGAAATTGATTGAAATAATCGAATATTCTCTCTGTCCTTGATGAATAGTGTTTTTTACAATTGTTTTCTTCGGGGATGAAACATAATAAAGAGCGGCAGGTGACTGCATGGTCTAGGAGAGAAAGTCTTGA